GATGCTACACCATTATCTGGTTTAGCAACAAGGACCCCTGCTACTAGGTGGAGATCTCTGTCACTTACTAAAACTGAAATTTCACTTCATTTCTATATGCAAATTGTCGAGTGTAGAAAGTCATCTCTATTTACTGGAAGCTTCTACGTGATGAGTGTGCAGCTAGGGAGTTCTTGTGGCAGGTCATTCACTCCAGAGCATCAGAAGAACAAGGAGCTAAGGGAAGAACTAATAGCAGCCTACAACTACTTGTGGGCTAGTTTGATGATGGAGTTATATTCAGTTTGCTTTTCTGCTGCAGGAAAGGTCTTGTATGTAATCATTTGTGAACCACAATCAGGTGACTCTCAAATTATTCTTGAGTAGACTAAGAAGCAAAAACTGAGTCTTTCATTCGAAAATGGATTTCCAGGCTGTATTTATCCTTACTTGTAATTTTGGAACACTTTCCTACTTTTGAACATCTGTTTTGAAGTATATGTACTGCCATAGCACCTGCTAGCCCCAAAGAATGTGCAGAGGTAGTATCACCTACTGACTGCTCCTCAACATGCTCTGCTAGATTGTTGGGTAGATTCTTGGATAGATAGTTGATAGTAGATAGATAGTTGGATAGACTGTTGCTAGATTCTTGGATGCTATGCATCCAAGAATCACCCTGTCCTCCTAATTCAGAGCACCTCACTGGCAGCTGAAGTCCATCTGATTGTGTAACAACCTGGCATGGAGTCTCCTGTTGGAACAGGACCACAACAAATCCATTTCTGTCACTTTTCTGGGTGCAGCCTCCCAGACTTACAGCTACAGGCCTGTTTTTATCGCTGCTTTGTGTTAAACATGATTTAACAGAGTTTGTCCAATTATCAAGTTTATCCCAACAGTTTTGAATAAGCTTTCCTTATCATTAGACTGCAAACTTATACGTTCTTTGCAACTGTGCCTCGAGTGATTTTTATATATTTTTCTTTAGCCTCATAAAATACATTGAACAGACTTTGAGACAAAAACGGTATTTGGGAGAACTCCAAGAAACTGCATAATTTGACCAAACCAAATCCATTTCTCACTGATGAGGAAGAGCTAAAAAAAGATGCGGGCACTAGATCTGTGAAAGGGACTTTCATTCTCAAATCCAAATTTTACATGTTTAAAACACCTACTCAACTACGAGAGAACCTTGGCAGAAGTTCAGATCCCTACATGTTTACCTTTCACGTGCACCAGATCTTGACAGCAGCTGTATTTTATCAGGGCAGATAAGCTGTGCCCCCCGCTAGTGTTTTTTAATATCTGCTCCAGTAAATTACATCTAATGGTCTGAAACTTGCACAAAATGTAGCCGGGAGGAGGTGGGCATGTTCCACTTTCCCATAGCCTAGTGATGTCAAATCTTGCCTAAAGTCTGGGAATCTAGCACTCGGAGCCTTCATCTGCTGAGTTTGCAGTGGTGACTAAACCCAGCTCTCCCTCCTCCGTGGTGAGAGTTTTAACCATGCAGTACTTCCCTCATGCCCATCCTGAAGCTGCTTCTTTTTCTGCAACATAGTCAAACATCCCTGGCCGAGAGCAAAACGGGCATAAAACCTGGCAAAGGGAGGGGTGTGGGTAGTAGCCATCCTCCAGCAGACGTTCCAATGTGTCACAGTCAGGATAGTGCCAAAGGGAGAGCTCGTGATGCTTGCCAGAGCCCTGTCACCTTGGAGCTGAGACCCTCGCTTTGAGAATCAGCTTTGAATTCCTGCTCCAAACCGGAGGAAGCATTGAAACCTCTTCATGTAGAGCGGGACATGCTCTAAGTGTGTTTGGTGTGTGGAATCCGTCCTGTCTGAAGCAGCCTTGAGCCCAGTCCCTGTAGGAGAATACTCCTTCTAGCTTGCAGGGAGGGATCTAACTCCCAGAAACGGCCGCCCTGGCAGCACCTTGCATCGCTGCTCTATCCTATTAGCTGCTTTGGGCAGTTCCTAGCTCACCGTGCTAGGATTCCAGATGCTTCTCCATCAGCTGCAAAGAAATGCAGGGCATCTCAGCAAGGGTCCACTAGGCGCTGGGGAACCTTAACACTAATCATTGCTACACTTACACTGAGCTTAAATCTGTTTTGTGAACATTGCTCAACATGCCCGTCACATTTTTCCCGAATTTCCCACCAAGTTTTTAAAAATTACAGAGCTAATTCCCTGGAAAATTTACATATTCTCCCATTATTCCCATGGTAAAAGTGACTCTTCTTTTTGAAGAATTTCTTGTAATAAAAGAACACTCACCAGCCAGATGAGTATGTGGGAATTTTGGTTGAGGCATTGAAACTTCACAGAAGGAACAAGCAACTGAAATTGTTCATTTGAATTTTGAAGGCATGATAATATGGCTCAAGTTCTTGTCTATTTTAATAGCAGGAAAATCCATGTTAATGAGGAAGACAGAGAAATAATTGTCATTTTGGAGATATTTGTCATTGGAGATATTTCTAATATGTTCTATACTGATATGAGGTCTAATATTGCTTGATACTATTTGGTGCTTTTTTCCATTTGTGTCAAAGTAAGTAGAGAAATAATTGCTAATAATATCTGAACATAACAGAAAGGTTGAGAAAACAATAGATAAATAGATCCATAATGACAGCCCTGTGAATTCAAGCCCAGTGAAACAAAATGTGTTTGAGTAGAACCGTATATAAGGGTGGGGGAAGGAGATACTGGGAGTTATAAACAGTGAAGGGAAGATTAGTGAAGAGATTTTTGTCTCTGTATAACTGAGACAACATAACTGAGACTTGTAGTAATACCGAGTGCATCTCTGGTGCCCATATTTCTTAAAGGAGATGGAAACACTGGAGAGTGAACACAAAAACACCCCCAAAAAAAGGAGTTCTTCAGAAAGGTAAAGTGAAATATTTAAAGGCAAAAGGACACTGAGAAATTACTTGATTACTGTGGCCATTAACTTCATGTGAGAAAATACTGAGTGCTAAAATCTGTTGGACAAAGGATTAAAAGAACCATGTAGATGTTAATGAGAACTTTCACTGGAAATCAAAGCCTGGGCTATTCAAATTCAAGCTTTTCCCTTAGACAGAAAGATCAAGGGATATTTTAGGATGTTTTCAAATCAAGATTTGTTGTCTGTCTCCCTTTGCAAATAAATCGTATCACCTGAGAAACTCTGCAAAATTCTAGGCAAACCCCCCATGCTTTGCGTTGTACAGGCTACAGTAGTACAAACACCCATGGATGCATGAACATACAGTCTAAGGTAGTATTTTCTGTTAGATATATAATAAAGTGAATTCATTTTTATTTTTTAGATGCAAGTCTTGTAAAAATATAAACCCCCAACCATTTTTCCATCATTTAGGTATGTGCATTCAGAGCACCACCATCACTATTAATCCACATCGTAAGTAGAAAAGTCTAAAAAATGCCCATGACACAATGTTGTTTCCACAAATAATCAAATACGTTAATAAACCTTGAAAGCATGAAAATATCATCTTACTCTGACCACAAGCATTTCCTATTTGCTCATAGTGAGAAGCTGTTATGCATACTAACTGTGATCCAGAATTTTGACAAAATGCCTTCATGAATGAATTACATTTTTTCCAAGTGGTGGAAATTCTCTTTCTTAAAAGAAATTGGTTGAAATCATCTCCTTACCTTAAATATTGACTTAATCCTTTGTCTTTCATTACAAATATATGAAGTGATGACACATTGATAATGTGGTTCTGGGAAAATCACTACTGGAAAATTAAATAGGAAGAGTGGAAGGGGTTTAGGAGTCATTCAGTACTTCCTTCAGTGACCATGACAGCACTTTTCACTGTAACTAGTTTTCTGATTTACTAATTAATTTACTACTCCTTTTCCATAAAGATATCATAAAATGCATTGATCTGATTTTTTGGACTAAGGAGAAATTTGCTGGAGCCTATTCTAACAGGTTTTTGATTGTGTTGATCACATTAAGAAAAAAAAAAAAGACACTCATTATTCAAAAATGAACAATTTTTGCTTCTCATCCTGTTACTCAAAACAAGGGGCCAGAAACGAGACATTACTCTGTAATAACACTGACCTAGGAGTAGCTTTGCTGATTTGTGCCTTGTGAGGAGTCTTCCACCATTTGCAACATTTCACCCTCGCTGCGACTTCTTCATGCAGCATTTTATAGCATTCCTCTAGTATTATCCAGTGACAATTTTAAGAATGAGAGAGAGAGAGAGAGAGAAAGAGAGAGCACACAAGAGAAAACAGTGTACGCCCAAGAGTTGATCAGATGTTTTACCTGGAACTGATGTCGGAGAAGGAACGTGTGGTCTCTCCCTCGGTAGCATTGCCACGTCTGCGTATGTGATATCACCTGCCATTGATGAGCAAGTGCCTCTGAGTTATGGAAAGAGCCAGTTTAATACAGTGGGTTGCATCCTGTATTAGCTTTGCCTGCCTCCAGAAGTATACATACACCGTGCTATGGCTCTGAGGAAGGCTGAGAAACAGATTAAAGGAAGGAAGTTACTTCTTTCAATACAGCTTCAAAGCCTATTTTCTGCCTCCATTCTGTCTCTTGTTGTGTGATCTCTTGCCCTTCAGAATACGGGAGAAAATTAAGATTAAAACACTTTTTTTTAATTAATATAAAATAATTATTTTTGGCCAAGGCAGAGCAAAGCTTCTAATGAATACCCAAAAATGGACTTACTCATGTAGAAAAGCTTTGCTGCTTCTTACAAGAATAGCTAAAGCAGTACGATTTGTGTTGTGGATGTGTTGTTCTTGTGTGCATGATCTTACAGAGCCTATTCACCTAAAAGGAAGATAAACAAGATATGTATCAGTATAAGATGTTTTGGGGCTAATGTAACTGCACCACAGTTAGAGCTATAAAAATGTAACTCAAATTCTAACCTGCTCCATCCACTGAGTACTGTAGTGGTTTAACAACTGAATTTAGGTTATATTAATGATGCATTACATTTAACTCAAAATAAAATTAAGAGTAATATGATCAATGTCTTTTAAAAGAATGTTTCAATACTATGACAGTAGTTTCGAGGACCAGAGCTGCTGTTCCTAAGTTGCTTGAGCTATCCCCCTGCTTGGCCCAGCAACTCCACAGGCAGAAAGCCTGAACTGCCTTTAACTCCTTGTTCATGACCCATGTGTTTGCTGCAGGATATTTTGATGAGAGTGTTTTTGTCTTCTATTCTGGAAAAAAAAAAAAAAAAAAAAATGAATCGAAACTTAAAGCCCTTCTAAAAGCTAAAAATACATTTCAGAACACACAACCATGAAGTCTTGTGCATTCAGAGTCCTGACATTTTGTGTTAAGAGCTACACTATTGGCTTTCTGCTTTATTCCCACTTAGAAAATTCCTTTAGAGTTTGACACAGATAGGGTCTACAAACCTACATGGGTCAATTGAAAATAATGTTTCTATTCTGTGGTATAGCCCATTCACCTTTTCTGTTACACTCAATGAGACTCTAGATTAAAATGAGAAAAAAGTTTGTTTTTGTGATCTTATATTACTGATCTTTTCCCTTCCTACTCTCAACGTTGGTAACAGTGTTAAGTGCAGACACAAAAAGGTTTAGGGAAAAAAAAAAAAAATTAACCTTTGATAGTCATGGAACAGATTACTCAGAAGTGCCTCTCAGGTACAATTTATATGCAACATATCTAAATCCTTGTTGCTCTATCATCAGCCACAAAATGATCAGTATGCAGATGTGGATACTGGTAACGGGATACTGATAAGGTTTGTTTCATGGCAACCTACATACCAGCCCTATGACTTGTCCTAACATGAAACAAAACTTTTGTCCTCTGATTGAATCAGTTTCCATTCCTTTCCCCTGAACTTTTCACCATTCTTTAGAGAAGGATATCTAGGCTCTGAAATGGAAAAAAAAAAAAACAAAAAAACTAAACCAACCAACCCCAAACTAGGGTTTTTTTTGAATTATGGTCCCTAAAGGAGAACTAGAAGGCCAAACAGGTTGCTTAAACTCTCAGTCTCTCTTTCCATCACTACATGTACACCTAAGCAGTCTTTTCTCATATCACTCCCTCCTAAATGATTCAAAACCATGAAGATATAATCGTGTATAGTCGGTGTAAGCATGAGTCTTTTTGAGCTAGTGGAAAAAAAAGTGTTTCTATTTTAAGGGAACATGTCCTCTCCACTGCTCGCCATCTCAGTAAGTGTGCAGTGCAGACCGGGCAATTACATCCTTTGTGATCTAGAAGATTCTCACTTGCCTGAAAAAAAAAATGACAAATGCATGCAGTTTTCTTCCAGAGCAAAATTACAAACTAGCCATAAGCAGTTCTCTTTTTTTGGATTTGAAGTCTACATGCTGTGCTCACTGTTAGGACTGATAAAGATAACGAAGATGAATTTGAATTTCTAGAAGGAATAGATGAGTAGAAGCCTTTGCAAGGCATTTTTCTTGAATTTCTTCTATCCTACTGGAAAACCGATAATTTTTTTTCTTACAATTAAAATGGATGTTGCACTGCTACAGAATTTTTATTTGATAAGTATTTTCTTTAGTGTTAATAATTTTACCTCTGTAAGTATTTCCATTATTTTCTTTGCTTTCATTTTAGATTCTAGCTTTATTTATGCATACCCAGATATGGGCCACCAAGTCTGACCCACTGATCTCTCAGTGCCAATAGCACTTTCAGAAGAAAAAAAAAATCCTTGTAGGAAAAGGCTACTATAGAACCAAGAGATAGTTGTTAGCAAAATAACCCACTGCTCATAACGACAATGGAAAGTCCCCTCTTTGCTGTCCGTGTGTCTGGGGATGGCAGTTCCACTCAGATCAACAAGTCAGGTCCCCAGGGCTCAGCAGCACTGCCAGCCTGCGTGTCACAGCATCATGGAGTCACTTGGGGAGGACGGGACCTGTGGAGGCCTCTACTCCAACCCCTGCTCAAAGCAGGGCTGATTCCACATCTAGATCCGGTTGCTCAGGGCAGGTTTTAGATACCTTCATGGACAGAGAGCCCATGGCCCTCCTGGGTACCTGCTACAGTGCTGCGCCACTCTCATGAAGGAAGAAATTTTTTTCTTCTCTCTGGTCACAATCTTTGGGCTGCAGTACCCATTGCTTCTTGTCCTTTTGCTGTGCCCTTTTGAGAAGAGACTGCCTCTGGCTTCTCCTTAAACCTCTTCCTGTACGTTATCTAGCAGAATACTGCAGACGAGCTAACAAGCTAACATTAAATTTTATAAAGCAAGGCTCTTTCACTACGTACCATATGTCTTAAAATAAATTGTTGGTGTTTCTTGTAAATTCCACTAAACGGAGTTCTTCTGGTCTATTTAGACAGTTTCACAGCTACAGTTTTATCATATGAAATCTCCAGAATTTGAATACACCTTTTGCTGGTGACAACGTGCTGCTGTCTGCTGGCATATTTTGCAGAATAAATGCTTCAGAAGCAGAGCCTGGTTCAGCCTAGTCATTCCCCCACGGTCATCTTTTCACATTCAGATATCACAGGTTTTTTTGTTTGTTACTCATGGGGAAAAAAAAAAAAACACAAAACAACCAAAAAACAACAAAAACCAACCCAAAAAACAATCCCCCCAAAAAAACAACAAAACACCCAAATATCAAAATGCTTCTTCACAAACTTTGATCTGGGTTGGGCATCCATGTGACCTAACTTCTCCCAGGATCCATCATCACCTTACATCTTTTGGATTTGTCAAGCAGAGCCTTGCCTCACCCTCTTCTTTCCTCCCAGACTCCCGATTAACATGCTTCGCTCACAGTTCACAGACACTGGTGAGGCCAGTAACAAAGTAGGGCTTGCTGTGTATGCATCAGGTACGGGGGGAGTGATTTTTTGGCCTTTTTTCAGACTGTTTGCCAGAGCATGGAGATATCTGGTGGCTCAGATTTTATTGCAGCATCTGCAAGGAAAGACGGTGGGATTGTTATCTAGAATTCCTCTGCACGTCATTTAGAGTTTGGAGCTTCAGTGACTCTGTTGAGGTAGGCAAATGAACACTCTTCCCCATCTTGACATGTGCTCCTGATTGCACACAGACTCCACTTGTAACCGCCACACCTGAGTAACGTCACTTCTGGTGTTAGCACAGTTACCGGTCCCAGTCATGCACAGAGCAAACGTGATAACGACTGCAGATGAGACAACTTCTGTGGGTGTGACAGTGTGTCCTTCATTGCATGCGAGGGCAAGAGTAGATTGAAAACAGCGACGTGGGCTGCAAAGCCGAATTCAGCACCTTCTGCCACAGAGCAGGCAGCTCAGCCCAGGGCTCCAGCTGCCTCGTGGTGCACATCTCGAAGAACTTGACCTGCTGCTCTGACAACAAAATGGACCTTTCCACTTCCCAAAAGCTGAGATGCATCCCAGAGACTTCCAGGCTAAACTGAGTGAATCTCCAGTTTGGGTTTTGATTCTAAACCCTGTGTGTAGAATGAGGTGCAAGAGCAGGGCTACAACCAAAGGCGCCTCCTGCTATAAATTAAAGTCTGTGCATTGTTATCCCACAAGCAGCAAAAAAGATGTAATCTAAACACAGCAAAGCCCTGAATTTACCAAGATAAAGGGGAAAAAAAAAAAAAAAAAAAAAAAAAGGTCAGTGAACCAGCAGTGGCTGAGGGTTGCAAGCTGAATATTTCCATGCTGGCAGCAGATGGGACTTGGAGTAGGTGGGAAGCAAACGAGTTTAGAAGCCTGTGAGACAGGTTTCTTCTCTATGCAGACTTTTGGGGGATTTTTGGGGCATGTCAAGTCTTTTTTGTATTTCAGATTAATTCCCAAAGATGTTGTTGTGCAGATTATTTATTCTGCGTGCCATGTATTCCCTTTGATGCATTCTTCAACGCTAAGTAGTGGCGGGGTGATTATGTGAATATATGCTCAGTCTCCAGAGAAGTTTGGTGATGGCAAGAAAGAGCTAGTGAACACCCCTTGACTTGTGTCCTTGCACTCCTGCATAGTGAGTTATTTTCCTTCAAAGAACCGAAGCAGTGAGCCTGCTGGGAACTCTTCCACAGGTAGCATGTTCTTGGAGATGTTATAAGGTATGTTCTGGTCTTCTGGAACCCTGTATCTGTGACTCAGAGAATGACTGGCAGGGAAAAAGTGATGTATCTGCAGACCATACATCTACACAACAGCATCTAGTGCTCTGGACAACAGAGGGTGTCTGCAAGGTGAGATCTAACAGAGGTGCTGGTACAGTTGCAGATCATCCCAGTGTGACCACAGTGCTGTGGTTGAGCAAACACGATGGTTGGATGCAAAAAGCTTCTAACACAGTCCCTACAGCACAGTGCAGCACTGCAACTTGTGGACGTGCAGGTTGAAGCCTGT